AGGAAGGAATGACCTACTCTTAAATTATTTAATTTTTTTTTACGTAGATACTGTAAATAGATAGCCTTCTTATACACAGACTTCAAAAAGACACCATTTTTCTTTCTGGCAGATTCACAAATAAAATACTTGAAATGGGATTGAAGCTAGGAGCAGGGAAACAGTTCGCTTCTTGTTAAACTGCTCAGGGAGAGGAAAGAGCTGTCACCTGCACTGTGTCCTTTGCCGGCAGGATGGCTGAGGCTGGGGACATGACACAGGCTTTCACAGCTGCCCTGATACCCTCCCTGCTCCTCAGCTTCAAATGCTCAGAGGGCTCCAGCTGGACAAGCGTCCAGTAGAGTCAGGACCAAGAAATGTCATTTTCCAAAATGCACCATGGCCTCAGGCACTTTCCTGTGACCAAATGCTTCCATTTTGAATTTTCATGTAGGCAAGGTAAAGATAACAACCATCTAAAATGGAAGTATCTGAGATCCCATAGTTGGCTCTTTCCCATCTTAATAAATAAGAAACAGGCCAGGACAGGTGATTGCTGGAGTATCAAAAGGCAGGTGCTTAGCATGAATGAATTTTAGATTGGAAGGGGGAAAATTCTCAAAAATCTTGTTTTAGTCACATACAAGATTAGCTCCTAATACTTATTTATAAAGGTTTGAGTTGAAAAATAAAAGGGGGAAAAGATAACCTTACTTGGATTACCTCGGGCACATCAAAAGAGTCACGAGCTTTGTTCTGTGCAAATGTAGACACAGCTGAAAAATGCAGGGGAAGATTGAGGAGGGGATTATTTGTAAGTGAGAAAACAGTGCCTCCCCTACAATGACCAAGTTCAGGGAAACAGCGTTACCTACAGCTCCCAGGCAGGCTACCGCATCTGAACAGTCCCTAAAAGTATGTGTTCATTTCACTTCAACGTGTAACGGGAAAGTAGAATAACATCCCTTGGGAGAAAGGGTGTGCCCCAAATATACGGGGTAGTCACATGATTTCTCCAGAGAGGATTTTATCTCCTCATAGCTTTAGCAAACAAAAATATTAGGCCTCATTAACCAGAAAGCAATAATTGAAGAACCTCCCACTGCGAAGCAGAATTTCATATAGTTTAACAGCGCTTCTTTAAAAAACGTAGTAAGACAACGAGGTATGGTTTGGGTTTTTTGGGGAGGAAAAGTGATTTCAATGGAAGAACCATGAAACTTGCCCTACTTAAAGCCAGTACCAGGGTTCATCCTGATCTTACACATAACACTGTCCTGGGGCTTACTGGGAGGGGCAAAAGATGAGGAAGCACAGTGAGAATTCTTTCTGGTGTGGAGAGCATTGCTAGATGCCCCAGTTCTTTCTGGTGAGATAAGAAAACTTGTCCCTCTTGCCCCACTCTGCCACAGTCCCTCCGGGTACCAGAGCTGTGTTTTGCAGTAGTGCATGGCAGCACTGTCCCGTAAGGTCTGTGTCAGTCCACTGTGGTTTCTTTAAGAACATCGTATTTGCACAGATACCTAGAAGGACCTACTAGCGCTATGCTCTTTCGAAGTATGCAGCATGTGATAATATAATCCATGAGCAGATTTCCTTGCATGGAAGATTAGGGGTTTGCCCCATTTTTTGCAGAGAATTGGCTGGAGAAGAGACGAAAGATGTGGATCCCTTTCTTTCTTCAAGTTAGAAATCCTATTGCTACTTTGGTTTACTGTGTTCTTCACCTACATGCCTTCCAGAAAGATACACCTGTCAACAGGATGGGCCTCACTGGGACCATTGTATGTTCAATGTCACCCAGTTTCTGATGTATATGGGCACCTCGCATATGTTGGGAAGAGGAGCATCATTATTGCTCCCACTTGACAGACTGAAAAGCACCTGCTGGAAAACAGATGTAAGCCTATGTCCTCAACAGGTATTTAAGTGCTTTGAAGAACCAGACCACATATTGGACTATCCTTCCATGACACTGTTGGTACAATAGCTTAGCCTGAAGTCCTAGGACTAAACAGGGAAGGGAAATTAGGAGAAGTGGCATCTAAGTGCTACACCTCTTCCCATTTCTATTTAAATTAAACCTACATAGTACCTAGCTGTTTTTACAGCCTTATTTAGCTTTACTGTCTTGCACCTAGCAGTGGACAAACATTGAGTCATTTGCCTTGGTCAAGAAATTTTGCTAATGTGCTTAAAAATGACACACGTTAAACAAATGGAACAGAAAAAGAGATTGTTCCCTTCCTCAACACTGCCAGCTCTAATTGTCAGCACAGGAAAATGCCTCCCCACAGGCCACCGTTGATATGTTGAAACAAAAATATGTTACTTGATATTAGTAACTTCTATCTCAACACAAATGAGTCATCGTAAGTGGCTTAAGCTGCACCCCGTTAAGCCTGTGCTATCTACCCTCATTTCTTCCAGACAGGATGCCTCCTGCAGGACCTTTAGCCTTAGAGGTGTTGTTCATCACATGGACAAATACAAATCAACACCCAGTACGGGTTAAGGCAGTCAGATTACTTAATCTGAAATCCTTTCAGTGGTTCTGCTTTATCTGTGAAACAGAAAAAGTGCAACCATGAGCACTTGCTAAGACATCTGTTTGTTGTTTGGCATACAGCAGTCAGTCTCCAGTTTTTGCAGTGAGTGGTCTCCTGGATGATGGATACAGCTAAAGTGCAAAGATCCAACAGGAAAAAAATAGTACTGCAGCCCCCAGGCCCAGTATAAGACTCACCCTCCCTTATAGTTGACTTACTGTTCCTACCAAGCAGTTTTGAACCTCCCCTTTAAATTTTTCAGTATCCCCTTTTCCTGCATTTCCCTCAACTCCCACTGAAATGATGGTTTGATTTTTAATTTTTTTTTATAATGATTATGACTGGCAAATAAGTTGTGTAGGATTTATGAAAGGACATGTTTCTGTCTAGAGTATCTCTATTTATGGTTTCTCTGCCTCTAGAAAAAACAGAACACAAACAACAGCAAGCAATGTAGGATGGCGGCCTACTTTCTAGCAAGGGAGCTGTAACCAAAATGTGTCACTTGGGTAGCTATATTTAAAGGTTAGCTAGAGACAGAGTGTAATTACACTAAGAATTAGAAGCTAGACATGCTGAACACTAGTGAAACCTGCTACAGTCCCATGGCAGAAAGGAAGATCTTTACTATCAAAGACTGGGTTCTCATCTTCGAGTTCGTTTGCTGGCTCTCCTTCTCAGCTTTACAAACAAAGCTATATGATAAACAGCTTCCAGTGCAACCCAGCTAGGTAATTTCAAGGGAAGGTTACTTTGACAACTGGATAAGCTGTTTTTTCCCCCCCAGAGGGCCTGGGGCAGCATGTAGTAACTCAGTTACTACAACAACCTCAATTTACTTAATGCTTAATCCTAGAACTGCTCAAGTGCTAAGAAACACAAGTACTACTGCGGGTATATACAGTTGTATTTGTTTACTGGCAGTTCAGGCAGTTTAAGTGCTTCTCATCCCTCTTTACGGGGTGAACACCAGAAATGAAGCACAGATGAGAGAAAAAAAGCTTTAGCAAGTGCTTGTTGTCCTGCAGACCATCGAGGATCTCACGGTAGGATAATAAGCCCATCAGCAAAGAAACAGGGTACGCTCAGAGCAGTGTCTGCAGGCAGTGGTCAATTAACAGAGCCAAAACGAGCAAGATTAGTCATGCACAGTAGCTCCCTTTTAAGTCTTTATTCCAGTAATGCCTTGCAAGCATTTCATTAAAGGATCACAAAAAGAGGTTGCACGTGGATACCAGCTCTTTCAGAGCAGGAAGGACCACAGTAATTGTAGCACTGGTAGCAGTTCTCAAAGAAACACTTCTTTTAGTACAGGAGCACTCCCCTATGTAGTGTTTAGGTGAACTAAGGACTAAGCTTACATGCTGGGTAGCTGCTGTACTCCGTGGGGGATTTTTTTTTTTTTTTTTAAGGAGTAAGAAAAGTCTCAATAGGCCTTATAACTACTGACAACTGCATCATAGGCTCACTCAGGATTCTTACATCCTTTAAGCATACAAGACAATTTCCCCCCTTGCTCACTGTAAGGAAGCCACACTTACCTTCACCAAGATGCAGGACAGAGTGCTGCTGCACTGCTCGCACCTGCCTGGGTAGAGCTCCATTGCCTGCTGCAGGGACAGAGAGCACCAAACAAGAACAGCCCTGTAAACACATAAACTTGGACCTGGGAGACAGCTATTGGCAGGGTATTTACCAGACTACTCCAAGAGTAGGAGTCTGCTCTAGGCAGACTTTTGAGCCATGTTATCTAGAAATCCACCCATCACATCTTATCTCCTAAAGGTAATTGATTGCCCTGAGGAGTCAATCCCTTTACAGTTAGGGGCAGCTTAGTTGCTATTTTTGGGAAACACTCAAGAATTTTATGCCTGACAAGAAAGTTCAGGTTCTTAATAAAGTTCAACCTGTCTACTAGTACAGACCCATGCTTCTCTGTATGAACTTTTCACAGAGAGGGTTGGAGGAGACAGGACAGTTCAGGACCAAGAAAAATCACAGGCAGCCACCCAGTTGCATGTAGTATAGGCCCTGAACAAGTTAAACAAGAGCTGCTTAATGGCAGCGGGGAATCCTGCAGCTATCCCGTCAAATCAGTCTTGACAGCTTGTAATGTGGCATTCAATACCTTCTCACTGACCTCACTACCACGTATGTCCATAAATAGGAGTTGCAGGATTCTCAAGTGCAGTGTCTTGTTTCTATTAGTTAAGGCAGCTTTTCCCCCAACAATCTATCAGCTGTTACACACGGGAGTGTCTAACAGTGAACCCCCAGTATCCGTAAGTTAGCTACCATCTTAAGCTGAGCAACTGCTGTTTACTCACGCTGCCAAATCCATGGCTACGGAAATCTTGTTTTATTGAGTTTAACCTTTCAATGAGGCTAAGGATCAAACTGAGGAGTGAAGCTACAGAAAACTACACAAGAGTTACTTTCTTGATCTAGAGAGAAATAAGGCAGAGGAGACAGTTTAGGACACAAAAAGCCTTTATGTTTGAGAAGTTAACCATTTCGACAGAAGACTCTGAAGTATTTTTGCAACTACTGTTACACTGGACAGTCAAGGATACAAAACTGCTGACAGAAGCAACAGTGGAGAGCACCAAATTAAAAAATGCATGCTTCAGCACAACTGCACAGATTCCTCCTCTCAATGAACACTTGCCTGCTCAGACTATACTTAACTCCTACCCATTCCAACTTTACGCCTCATCCTCCTCTCCTTCCTCTTCAAATTCCCCCTGCTCGTCAGCAGTGGCGTCCTGGTATTGCTGGTATTCGGAGACCAGGTCATTCATGTTGCTCTCGGCCTCCGTGAACTCCATTTCATCCATGCCCTCGCCGGTGTACCAGTGCAAGAAAGCCTTGCGCCGGAACATGGCCGTGAACTGCTCCGAGATCCTCTTGAAGAGCTCCTGAATAGCCGTGCTGTTGCCAATGAAGGTGGCAGACATCTTGAGGCCACGCGGGGGGATGTCGCAGACGGCCGTCTTCACATTGTTGGGGATCCACTCCACAAAGTAGCTGCTGTTCTTGTTCTGCACGTTGAGCATCTGCTCGTCCACCTCCTTCATGGACATGCGGCCCCGGAAGAAGGCACCATGTTGACCGCCAGCTTGCGCAGGTCGGCGTTCAGCTGGCCGGGGAAGCGAAGGCAGGTGGTCACGCCGCTCATGGTGGCCGACACCAGGTGGTTGAGGTCCCCGTACGTGGGAGTGGTCAGCTTCAGGGTGCGGAAGCAAATGTCATACAGGGCCTCGTTGTCGATGCAGTAGGTCTCATCCGTGTTCTCCACCAGCTGGTGCACAGAGAGGGTGGCATTGTAGGGCTCCACCACCGTGTCCGACACCTTGGGGGAGGGCATGACGCTGAAGGTGTTCATGATGCGGTCGGGGTACTCCTCCCGGATCTTGCTGATGAGGAGGGTGCCCATCCCAGAGCCCGTGCCGCCGCCCAGCGAGTGGGTCAACTGGAAGCCCTGGAGGCAGTCACAGCTCTCCGACTCCTTCCTCACCACATCCAGGACAGAGTCCACCAGCTCAGCGCCTTCCGTGTAGTGCCCCTTGGCCCAGTTGTTGCCAGCCCCACTCTGACCTACAGCATCGGACAAGCAGCAAGGTGCCATGTTAGCGCCCCGGGAACGAACAGAGATGATCCCACTTCTCCTGCCCCGTGGGGTTCGCCCCTCAGCCCTCACTCCCACCCCCACTGTGCTGTTGGGATTCAGGTTCCCCAGGTCACTGGCAACAGTCCCTCTGAGCCCTTTCTGTGCAGGGAGGTCCTGCTTCGGGGCTCCTCCATCCCACACTCACTCACCAAAGACAAAGTTGTCGGGCCGGAAGATCTGTCCAAAGGGGCCGGAGCGCACAGAGTCCATCGTGCCGGGCTCCAGGTCCACCAGGATGGCACGGGGGACGTACTTGTTGCCTGTGGGAGGAACCAGCACCAGTGTTACAGCCCCACAGCCGGTGTCACAGCAGCCCTGCTGTGCTCCCTTCCGCCTCCCCGCAATTCGCTGCCGAGGGTACAGAGGGTGAGGGAATTTGGGAGGAGGCAGTCAGGGACAGGAATACAAAGCAGCTGTTAAAGCTGAGCCAGGATGTCACCCGATGCAGGGAGGTCTGGGGCACAGCCCCCACAGCAGGATGCACCGGGGACACCCTGGCTGTCCCCTCCCCGCCCCCCTCCCCAGCGGCTCCGGGCCGGGAAGCTCATTACAGAGGGGCGTTACCGGTGGCTTCATTGTAGTAGACATTGATCCTCTCCAGCTGCAGGTCGCTGTCCCCGTGGTAGCTGCCCGTGGGGTCGATGCCGTGCTCATCGCTGATGACCTCCCAGAACTAGAAAGAAATTTTTGGAAACGGGCAACGATTAACCACAGCTGGCCAGTGCCAATCACACCCACCAGCGCGGGCTGTGCATGCCGACCACTCCCTGGCATGGCACAGCAGCTGCCCGGGGAGGAAGGTGAGTCAGTGCAG